GGCAAGCCATCAGAGTTACCCGACCGCTTCCCGCCTAGTCGGCGAATTCCCCCTGGACCTTGAACAGCTGTGGTTTCGACGCCAGGCAGTGACGCTTTGGCCATCGGAGGTTCGTCTCCCATGGCGCATACCGATGAATGACTTTTTCATGTAGCTCTTTTCGGTAGCATTGCTTTGCTTTTGCCAAACCTCACAGTTTCATTTGGGCTTCCATGGGCGAGGTTTGCTTTCCTCTGGCAGTTTTCAGGGGGGTGATACAGCTGTGCTTGTGTTTGGCTGACAGACCCAAACTCTACAGCTTCCGCCAGTTGGAAAACAAACCCCAATACTTAAATGATATATATATATATTCGATATATATATGTTTGCTTATGGTTTGGCAATTGAAGATGCCTCCAATATGCATGTATGAATGCAATGCAGTCTGTAGACCATTTTGCATTGGCTGTTGCTTGGAAAGTTTGAACGGTCAGTGTGTTTACTCACTGTTGTTTCAACTTGACAACATACGCCACTTGGGCTCAAGCAGCAGCCAGCATACATGCTTACTGGACCAGCTTGCATTTTCAACCCCTCCCTCCACTTCCCTTTGTTGAATTGGGCGTGCTTTTCTTTGAGGCTTTACTTTTCAAACGTGGTTTGCAAGCGGGTCCGTCATTCGTGTGTTGCTTTACGATCATCCTCCAAGAGGATGGTAGGATCTTTCATCAGCTTGGACATGACTGATGTCCAACAGTGCATCGTGACCAATGCGGACACGGCCAACCCGGTCGGCAGTGCCACGTACCCTTTTCTTTATGGCTTCCTCGTTTCAGCAGCTTTCGCGTATGGCTTTTTATTGTGGCAGATGAGACGAGCACGCATTTCTCTGCACAATGAGGTCCTCGCGGCTTTGGACGCGCGGCTGCAGGAGCTTCGCGAAATATGTCTGCAGTTGCGCAATGACGTTGATCAAGGCATGGTGTCCCTTGCTGCTTTGCAGTCGGCGCGGCAACGTTCCGACGACAGTATTGCTTCGCTTGCACATTTGACTGGCTGGCAGCTACATGCGCATCATGCGCAGCTTGACTGTTTGTGGCTGGAAGAGGCTAACTTCCAAATGCTACGCGATCACCAATGTGCCCTGGTGTGGGCGCCGAAGCATTGCAGGCGTGAAAGAACAAGGGGTATACCTCAGCACTCTGACCGCTGAATACCCTCCTTCCCTGGCCCTGCAACTTGCCCAGGTAGGCATAGGAAGGCCCTGCTGCCATTTCTGCAACACGGGGTACTGACAGGAGCGTGTCAGCCTTGCCACCCAGCCTTCAATGGCCAAACTCCGCCCTGCCGCCGGATCTGGAAATCTGTGAGGGCAACTCGAAGATGGCCGAGGACGAACCAGAAACCGTGCAAAGCTTGCTGCGCAATGAAATTGCCAACAGCTGGATTGTAGAAACCGGCCTTAGCATCGCCGAGGCTCGGGAAAAATGGCCCTTAGGCATTGCCGTAGGCAAATTAAATGTCGTTTTTGCAGAAGGGAAAGAGCCGCGCCTTGTGTGCCAAGTGAATACCAGATGCCATCTGCCAGAGCGCCTGAGCCTGCCAATGGCATCGGACCTGGCGCTGTCCACGCAGCCGGAGGACACTCCAGGCGCCTTCGTGGGCGCCAGCATTGACTTCAAAGCCGCACACAAACAGGTGCAGGTCCGCCCTGAAGAGCATGGCCTTCTACTATTCGCCTTTCAAGGAAAACTCTATCACTATAGAGTGTGCCATTTTGGGGGCCGTTTCTCGGCAGCGCGCTGGCGCTTTTTTGCTTCGCCAGGTGCATGGGTTGCTGGCTTGGAAGCCCCACAAAGCCTTCCTTTTTGTGGACGACCTTCTGTGTGCACTCTTCCGAGATAGCGCGCCAGATATGTTTGCCTTTGCACCATTGCGGCGCCAATTTCATGAAAAAAGGCGCAATTCCAGGACAGCCTTGTTTGGTGCGGCTGGGAGATCAACTTCTCCCACGACACCATTCAGCTCGTGTCCGCTAAGCTGACCAAGCTTGGACGCCTTGATCAAAGCACTGCTGGGGAGCCGACGGGTACTCCGCAAAACACTCGAGCATGCATAGGCCTGCTCATTTGGGCCACAGCATTGCACTGCATCTGAGATCCTGGCTAGCGCCACTATACTCGGACCTCAACAGCCCACCAGGCTCGATGCGCTCGATACCGCCTCAAATGTGGTCAGCCTTCAGAGCATCCTTGAACAAGGATCTCAAAACCAGCCATAGCCTTCCCGGCTTGTGGATCACAGTGGGCTCCAAAATCTTGGAAATTTCAGGTCGCACCATGCACTGCCCTCAGGACATCCCGCGGGTGCCCGGCACTAGCAAACCCACGTGGTGCGCATCGCGGACCCCAATAACCCATATACTAGCCTTTCCAAGTCAAGCCAGCAATGCCTTACATGGCTGGCGTTGTGCTTTCAGCGCTCGCCCGTTCAGCCCTTGGCGCGGCCACACCAGCTGCAAGCACTGGCTGCCGCGGATGCGTGCGCCGAAGACGACTTGGTAGGGATAGGGGGCTGGACAATCACACCCTGCCAAGTGGTTTGGTTTGCCGAAACCTGGAACATGCGGGACATACGGGCCGTATGGCCTTGCCTTGTCAAGCCTGGACAGCGGTACATCGCATGTTTCGAGACGCTGGCACAGTTAGCGCTACTGCAAGCAACCCACAGCCACATTGGTGGTGGGCACTACTCGTTCAGCATGCCTTCAGGCACGGACAATTCCGCAACGGAAGCAAGCCTTAACAAGTTGTTCACGACCTCCTGGCCGTTGCAACTTTTCGTGCAGTTAACAGCCTTCTGGGCTCACGCTCACAATGTGCTGCTGCAGCCGACGCACGTTCCAGGAAGGTGCAATGATTGGGCAGACGATCTCAGCAGAGGTCGGTTGGCCCGATTCAGCTATCGCCCTGAAAGTCGCATACGCTTCAGGCCTGCGGGCCTAGCAATGTCAGGCCGAGGCATTCAGCTGTGTCCGATATATGCGCCCTGGCGCCCGGAACACCTGGCAGCTGCCTCCAGCACTGCTTAGCCAGCCTTATTTGCATCCCAACATGCATTGCGACCAAATGGCCGCCCTGTCAGCCAGAACAACTGGCTGCGTCAGCCAGCCGCTTACATCAAGCCGCTCTGACCGACAAAAGTGCAGACCCTGAGCAACAGGCTGCTCACAGCCGCAAGCGTGCATTGTCACGCGGACATTTGCCCTGCCAGGTACAACCCCACTCTGAAGGGCGGGTGATGAGGCCGGCGGCCCAGCTGGCTCGCTTATACCGGGGTTGCCTGAAACACTGAAGGGGGGGTCAAACGCACCTCCTGTTCCAGGCGCACCAGTGCCCTGGAAGCAGTGCTACTTTCAGCAATCCCGGTAAAAAGAACTGCGGCCGCTTCGGACTTGCTTGGTTCTTTTGGGGGTTCATGTTTGGGTTCAAGCTAGGAGCAGTGCAACATGCCTTAACGCTTAGGGTTTCTTTTCCCTTGTGTTTAGGGCATGTTGTGAATCGAACTACGCGGTGGCCGTTTTGCTCCTAGCCTTGACCCAAACCTGCGGTTTCATGTGAAACCCACCCACCCACCCTGCACTGCCTTATACAAGGCTCTGCAAGTATAGGTCGCAGACGCTCTGCACTTTCGTTGGTGGTCTCCGGACCTCTTGGTCTCCGGACCAGGTCTCCGGACCAACTCTGGTCTCCGGACCATTCAGTCTCCGGACCTTGGGCGCGGGCACGCATGCCACGCCCTGCAAGCACTGCATTCACTTGCAAGGACACGCATTGTCTTGCCCGTTTTAGTTTCACGGGGGGTCAACGCACCTCCTGTTCCAGGCGCACCAGTGCCCTGGAAGCAGTGCTACTTTCAGCAATCCCGGTAAAAAGAACTGCGGCCGCTTCGGACTTGCTTGGTTCTTTTGGGGGTTCATGTTTGGGTTCAAGCTAGGAGCAGTGCAACATGCCTTAACGGACTTGCTTTGTTCTTTTGGGTGGTCTTGTTTGGGTTCAAGCTAGGAGCAGTGCAACATGCCTTAACACTGATGTAATTTCGGACAATATATTCCAGCGAGTTGTTTTTGAGTAGTTGAGCCAGCAAAAAGCAGTTCGAGCGAGGGCTTTGTCAGGTGAGGGAGAGGTCTAGCAGCTGCACCTGCAGCAGTGCCGTGCTCGGAGCGAGGGAGTTGAGAGTGGAGAGTGATGACACCGCGCGCAGCATCCAAACCTCAATGCACTCCGAGAGACCCCCGATGTGGAAGGCAATGTGAGATGGCGTGCTTTCTCTGAATGATGTGACGCTCATTTCGATTTTTCTTTGAATTCCCCGAAGCGCAGTCTTTTGGCATCGGGGGCCGGCTCCGAAACCGAGCGCTTGCCAGAGAGAGAGAGCTCCGAGAGCGAAAGAGTCGGCCTTCGGACTCCAGGAGGCGCGAGCCATTGAAGCGATGCATTCAGTCGAATCCCGATTCTCGTTGCATTGCAGTGCCACCACACCATGTCAACATATGCTTGCGAACATTTTTCCCCAGAGATCCAGGTCAAACACTCTACCACTTATGCACCCAGTGTGGTCCCGCTCCAAGTTTGACAAAAGACTTACTTTTTGCCCAAAACCATTAAACAGCAATAGGCTCGGCACAACTTCAGGGTCTACAGTTGCTTGTGCTACCATTCCTGGCATCATTCAGTATCTTTTGGCTGGGAGGTAGGGGGAGTCGTGTTGCCATCAAACGCATGCACCGTGGGCTAGCAACTGATTTCGTGAAGGTGCCAAACGTAGCTTGTGGGACTTGCATGACCAGAAAGCGTTGCAGCCGATGCGGCATGTGGAACGAGAGAGGCGGCCGATTTCTCAAGAGGTTCGAGAGAGTTCACGGCCAGGTCCAAATGCACACAGAGCTGGCCTTCGCGCCAGCGGGTGAATGCAATGCGAGGTGAATTAAAGCAAATCGAACAGAAACATCCGCAGTGGCAAGTTGGTCGAGTGCATCCTTTTGTAAACCGAGCAAACGGTTGGCACTGTTGGCACTGTTGGCACTGTTGACACTGTTGGCACTGATTCTTGCCTTCATTTGCCTTCCATGTCCCGTGTGTTCCGTGCGTCCCATGTGCCTTGGCTCAAGCACAAGTGTGACGCAGACTGAGTCTGAGTCAGGCAAGGTCTGATGCCGCCCGGGACCCAGGATCACGAGGCCTTCTTGGCCCCGAGGCCATGCCGAGTGCATGCGAGTGCATGCCGAGTGTGCAGAGTGTCACATGGCAATTCATACGCTCTGGCTGAGTCCGACGCCTCCAGAACCAGGAAAACCGCCGCAGCGGCTACAGGCCTGGGAGCCGAGCCGCGTCGGAGGTTCTCAGCTTTCAGCTCTTTCAACTCTTTCAGCTCTCAGGATCCTTTGAACGACCGGCCTGTCAAGGAGGTGCGCAGGAGACAGAGAGAAGTCGGATTGAATCAGAGCCCTCGGGAAGACGCAGGTGCCGCTGCCGCCAGCACAGCTGCTTACCGCCGAGTCCTTCTATGAAAAGCGGAGCCGGCGAAGTTCGCTTTTTCGTGCCGTGCAAGTTGTGCCAGGAATGGCGAGCCCAACATTTCAGCGCTCATGGAGCACTTGCACGGGGCTCAAAATCCGATTGCCCGAATTTTGCGCCTTCCTGGACCCAAGGATTTTGGAAGGAGCCTTGTCCCAAGAGCTACTGCTGGACATCATCAGCAAGGAGGGTAGGGGCCAGGAATCGCAATTGGCATCTAAAGTGTGAAAGGCCTCAGACCTCTTCAAGGATGAGCCAAACTTGTCCACACCTTGGCCGTCGTCACTTTGGTCACCGATGTCGGGTGCCGTGCCAGGCTAAAGCTGAACGACCCCATCACAGTAGTGGGTGATGTCCATGGCGTGGGCCTTAGATGCAACGTGGGCTACGTGCTAAGCGAGGCGTCTCGCTACAGGATACCTAGCCAAAAACGACGTTTTTCTGCGCAATTTTTGAGGTCAATATTATGACATGGTGAAGCTCCTTGAGGCTCTTTCGGGGAATCTGGCGTGGTGCATGGGAACTGCGACAGGTGGGTGGCCAACCGGGAGACACACAGTACATCTTCCTGGGGGACTACGTAGACCGTGTCCTGTCAGATCCCGCGCAGATGTTGGCAAGTCTTTCTGCCATTCAATGCGAACTTTAGCCAAGGCGGCTCCTTTTCGGTGGAGGCAAAGCTGAGGGGTGAACTCGAGAGTCGGAGAGAGACCTGGGCCTTGCAGGTTGTTTCGGTGCTGTATTCCTTGAAGATCAAGTATCCTAAGCAGGCGCGTTGCTTTGTGCAATCGCATGGAAAGCTATCATTGCAGGTACGAATGCTGCGCGGCAATCACGAATGCCGGCAAATGACGTCGTTCTTCAATTTCCGAGAGGACCTGCCATGCCAGGAATGTGAGTCGACTTGATGAAGTGCAGGAATGTGAGTACAAGTACGACATCGGAGTCTACAACGCTTTCATGGACAGCAATCTCTACTTTAAAACCTCCGGCTCAGATGAAATACAAAAGACATACGCAAATATTTGAAAGAACAATAGCGGCATATCAGTGAGGTCGCCATCAAAGCATCTAAACAGATGCTGCAGAGTTGAGGCAGCTGAAAAGCGAGGAAGACCATGTCTCTTCAGTGCTCCTTCATCTCCCTTCATGTTTCATCCCTTCATGTCCCCCTTCATTTCCCCCTTCATTTAGCCTTCCTTCATTTCCCTTTGTTTCCCCTGCATTTCACCTTGATTTCCGCTTCATGTTCCTTCGTTTTCCCCTTCATTTAACCTTTGTTTCCCTTCATGTCCCCTTTGTTTCCCATCAATTTCCCTTCATTTCCCCCTCATCCTCATGTTCCGTTCCCGTACTCTTCTTCATTTCCCCATCCCTGTATTTCCGCTTCATATTTATTTCTCTTCATTTTTCGTCATTTCCCCTTCATTTCTCTTCATGTTCCTCATCCCCCTTCATTTCCACTTCATTTGCCTTTACCTCCCCTTCATTTCCCTTTCATTTCCCTTCATTTCCCCTTCATGATCCCTTCATGTTCTCTTTCGTTTCTCCTTTGTTTCCGCTTCATGTCCCTTCATTTCCCATCATTTCCCCATCATTTTTCTTTATTTCCCCCCCAGTTCCCCTTCATGTCCAATCGCTTTATTCATTTTCATTTCCCTTCATTCTATTTTCCTTCATTTCGAATCCCTTTGTTTCATTTTCATCTTCATTTCCCTACATGTCACCTTCACTTGCATTCATTTCCCCCTCATTTCCCATTCATTTCCCCTTGGTTTCCTTTTTATCATTCGCTTTCTTCATTTTCATTCATTTCCGTTTTGCAGGAATGTCTGCTGATGTTGTGCTTGTGCTGCTGACGATGCAAAAGCGATGCTGGGGATGTTGGTCCCATTGTTGCAAGGAGCAGTCGTGTCCAACCCACGCCGTCTGTCGGAGCTTTGCAATGGCCATCGGAGGACTCCTTTGACAATTTGCCTTTAGCAGCCACCATCAACGGCAAGTCGACAGCTCAGATGCACTTTGCCAGCTCTCAGCTAGACCTGGGCATGAAGGTTCCTTTGCGTGCATGGCGGTCTCTCTCCGGATTTGGGCAATGTCAAGGCAAGGCACAAGCGTTTGAATGACCTGAGATCATCGATCACAGGCGATCACGAAGATCAATCGCTTTACGGAACCGCCCAAGGAGGGCCTGCTTTGCAACCTGGCTCAAGGGCTCGGGCTCAACGTCCCGACAGAATGTTGTGTGCAAGGCGATTTGCTGTGGCCACGCGCTCACTCGAGCTCTCACAGCTCTCACAGCTCTCACTAGGCTGTCACTAGGCGTGAGAGTTGCAGGTCTGACCCCTTGGAGCCGAAGGAGGGGGAGTCGTGCGGGGCTAAGAGCAAAGACCCCGCAAAGATGCCCGCAATGCTCGCAAAGATGCCCGCGATGCTCGCGATGCTCGGAGCTCGGAGCACGAGGCGGCCCAGCGTCAAGAAGGGCGGGCCGCCCTTTGTTCCGAACGAGGCGTCAAGGGCGGCATGTCGTGACGTCGTGTCCGGTCGCATTGGAGGTCCGAGGCTGCTCCTATTTCTACAGCGGGAAGCCCATAGGTCGAAGGCAAGACCTCCATGGCATGACTCAGGCTTCGACGGGGCCACAACCTTCCTAAAAAAGAACAACTTGCTGTTGGCACCTGAGAGCACTCGTTGCACAGCCCTTGCGCCCCCTACGCCGCCTTGCGCCCCTTGCGCCCCTTCTCAGGTCGATCATTCGAGCCCATGAAGCACAGCTGGAAGGCATTCCTTGCCGCGTTTGCGAGAGGCCTTCATGCAAGTCAGCGAGTCAGCGAGTCGAGTTGAGGCTACAAGATGCACAAGACCAATCCCAGCACGGGATTTCCTCTTGTCCGGAGTCCAGCGGAATCCAACGGAGTCCAACGGAGTCCAACGGAGTCCAACGGAGTCCAACGGAGCTTGCAAATGTTGCAATTCAAAACTCCTGAGGTCATTACAATTTTCTCCGCTCCGAACTACTGCGATGTGTACAACAACAAGGCCTGAGAATGGCCAACATGGATTTCTCCCGTTTCCAATTGCCTTGGCTAGGGTGCGATTCTGAAATTCGACAACAGCACCCTGAATATTTTGCAGTTCAACTGCTCTCCGCCTCGCCCTCGGAAATCCTCGGACTCTTCGACTCGGGTCGACTCGGGTCGGACCGTCGGAGCGTCGGGTCTTCTCACTGAGGCATCCTTACCACCTGCCAGCTGCCCAGCCCAGTGACGGAGGCGAGTGGAGGCCGTGCCGCGTAGGCCAAACTTCATGGACGTTTTCCAGTGGAGCATGCCCTTCGTGATTGAAAAGGCTTGCAACATGGAATCCCCTCCCGGAGACATTTTTCTTTCCTAGGTGACAGAGATGCTTTACTACATCCTGCAGCCGGCAGCAGGTGCTGCGGAGCCAGAGGACGACGCCGGGCTCTCGCACGGAGTCCATCGGGAGTCCGATGGAATCTTCGAGTTTCGGAGGCCGCCGAGGCCCTGCCTCCGCTCCCGGACTCGAATTGGGTGAACCACAGGGCCAGGACCCTCAGGAGCTCGAAGCGAGCTGCGAAACGCACGGCGCAACGCCTGGCGAAACGCGTGAAGGCATCGCTGACGGATGACCAAAATCAGGCGTCTGTTCTGAATCTGTTCTGTCTGTTCCGTGTGCCGACGTGTTTGGCGCTCAGACCGTGGACATGGCGACCCGGCTGGCTGTTTGGAGCCCCAGCGGTCGTCCCGGGTCCAGGCTCCCGGGTCCCGGAAATTAAAACCGGGTCCATAAGGCGCTGATTTCCAACGAGAACGCCAAGGAGAGAGAAGCTGGAGGGCACAAAGCCGCTCGGAGAGATAAGCGCAAAGCCGCTGTGTGAGTCAGTTTTGCTGCCAGGTGGATCCAGAAGTGCGCGACAGGATGCGCAAGAAGGTCAGATCAATAGCAAGGTGGGTGAGCCGGAGCTGTATTTGTTTTCCTTTGAAACACAGCCAGGATGGCCCGCATGTTCAAGACACTGCGGCAGGACTGCAGTGTGATGTTTTGGAACGGAATCTGAACCTCATTTGCGCAGGAGAATGAGACAGTGGTTCGTCTGAAAGGGGTATGTCCAGGCATGGAAGCCAAATGAAAGCATGCGTCTCTGCGTCTGTCTCTCTCAGGCCACAAGCTGGCACCTGGTCTTCTGCTGGCCGGGAAGGCGAGAGCTCCGAGAGCTCCGAGAGCTCCAAGGACTGAGGAGAGCCTGTCTCTGCGAGGAGCGCCTCACCTCTGAGCTGGAGATGTTCAGCCACGCCCAGGCGTAAGCGCGAAGCGCGAAGCGCGAAGCGCGAAGCGCGAAGCGCGGGCGTGTGGGCGTGTGGGCGTGTGCGGCTCACGCGCGGGCCCAGGGCATCGATCTCGTGAATGAGAAGCGCCCGGAGGCGTGGCATCTTGGAATTTCCGTGTGTCAAGCTTCTGGCCTCTGGCTGCTGGCTGTTGCCTCTGGGAGGAGGGCGCCAAAGCAACAGGCACGAGACCCGGAGACACCGAGACACCATGCGCGCAAGCCGCCAGGCCCGACGGACTTCCGGGACGGCATGAGCGACGGTGAGATAAGCCCAGCTACCCAGTGCGCCTTTCGTGCCTGCGTCGGTGTTCCCATGTTCAGGTCCTTGATCTCTTCAGAAGGCAACTTGACTCAGCCAGTTGCAAACTCAGAGGTAACTCACACCAGCCAAGCCTTTCAGTTGCAACACAGAGTCATTGTGCGTCTCAGGTGAAGCTTTTGAAGTGCTTTTGAGATCTCAGTTTGTCCGAGTGAATAGTGAATGGGTACATTGGGCATTGGCAAATTGGTGCGGCACTCGTTCTCGAGTCTCTCGATGGCCAATGCCCTCGTCTCACCCCGAAAGCCCCACTGCCGACTCTGGACAGCGGGAACGGCACAAACGGCACACTGACAAGAGAAAGAAAGACGGAAGGAAGGAAGGAAGGAAGGAAGGAAAGAAAGAAAGAAAGAAAGAAAGCAAGAAAGAAAGAAAGAAAGAAAGAACAAGAACGGAGTCACGGAGTCGCATCCCCGTTTCAAGTTGCATAGCACTCGTGTTCTGGTTCTTGTTTTTGCTAGAGATTCGAATGCCGAAAAGGAAGGACGGAACAATCCGTGCTGTTCGGCTCGGACTGAAAGGAAAAAGTGAGCGAAAAGAGACTGGTCTGCGGTCTGCGGTCTGCTCATGCTCTCTATTTGATCGCCGGCGATCCGCTTCGCTCATTGCATGGGCTTCAGGCTAGGTCTCGAAGCACATGCTTCGATTCGATGAAGCCTCTGTAGCGAGGACTCGTGACGGGCATTTGGATTTCAAGATTCGACCCGACTTAGGCCATGAGCCTAGCGCGCTTGCTGCTTGTTTCGCTGGCTGCCTCTGAGCGACCCGCAGAGGTGTTTGGGCGACTGGGCGACTGGGCGACTGACGTGGCTTTTGCCAGGAGCAAGGGTCTCGACCTGGACTCGGAGCCCGAAATCCGCACCATCCGCATTTCGAGAGAGCGGGGCTAAGGCGCACTACACACTGAACCGGTGCCCGTGGAGACTCAGATTTGCAAAATCTTTCGCATGGCAGTTGGACCAGTTGGACCATAGTCAAGAGCGGAGGAAAAGGAGGCCTTTGGCTACTCAGACCTCAATGACAAGCTGAAGCAGCCCCCTTCTCCGCAAATTATTAGGTTGGTTGGGTACCGGAGGGCTTGAAGAGTGAGCGGATTAATTTTGACTGATTTGCGCCATGAGCTCAGGCTGCAGACGGAAACTCAGGAGTATCAGAGAGACGTGAAGGGTCCTGTGGTGGACCAGGCTGACGCTTGCGCGCAAAGACCGGAAGACATTTGAGCGGTATCGAATGCCAAGCCTAGCGACGCGTGTGTTTCGATGAGAGAACTCGCTTCTGAGCCGAGGACGATTGGCTTCAACAGAAATCTCGCCTCTTGCCAACACCTGGCCAGTGTTCTTGGCCAATGCGCATGCGCACTCAGGATATCAGGATTTGGTGCAACAGCTGAACGAGGGCATGATTGTCGAGAAGAAGTTGGTGCACAAGCTCCGCAGCCTGGCATCGTGCATAGCGTGCATAGCGTGCATAGCGTGCGACTGGCGGCGTGCGACTGGCGGCGTGCGACTTCCTGGGGCCTGTCATGTCTGAGGCACCGAAATCAGGAAGAAGGCAACAGAAAGCATGAAAGAGGCTGAGAAGAATCTGGAGAACAGCACGGGAAATACGGGAAGTTGAGGGTGCCTTCAGCTCATTGCTCAGACTGTCAGAGGCTCAGATTCTATTTGGGTATGGGTCAAAATAGGTCAAAATTAAACCACCAGGGGACCACAGGTTTTAGTCATTTTCCATTTACCAGCGTGCCATTTTGGGCACCTATTTTTGACCCACAGCCATTTGTGTCTTGCAAGGTCCGAGCAATGATCCTGCCACAGCAATTCAGAACTGGGGCAATGCGACGGTAGCGTGCAGAGACCAGTGGCTGAACCGAAAGATGAGGGCGCAGTTTGGAGCACACTCGCATGGTGCTGCCCGCAAGGGTTTGATGTTTGATTTGAGATTGGCTTTTGCGAGTGTTCTGATCGCAGCATCTTGCAAAGCTCAGACGTGCCTCCCAAGCAGATTGGCAGAGATTTGAAGAAAGCATGGGGCTTCTCAGCATCTTGAAAAAGATGAAGAAGGAGCGGAGGGGTTGCCCTGCTGCATTTTGGCAAACTTTTGGCGCAGGAAGAGCAGGAGGCCCGAATTCTCGTACTGGGCCTGGACAACGCGGGCAAGACAACAATCCTGAAAAAGCTGCAGCTGGGCTATATCAGAACAGGGCCAGCTTGCACGCAAAGGTAGGTCGTATCAGAAGATAGCACATGTGAAATCATGTGGGCAACTTGCCAAACTGCTGGACCTATTCTCACATGGCAGCATGGCACAAGGTCTGAAGAGGACATTACGCACATCATGCCCACCCAGGCCAGTCTTGGATCAAGCACAGCTGCAGGCGACAGGTTCGTGAGAACATATTGCCTGTTCTTGCATAGGGCTTCAACATCAAGAGTATCGTTCAAGACGGCTTCAAGCTCAATGTGTGGGACATCGGCGGTCAGAAGGCAATTCGACCCTATTGGAGCAACTACTTTGAGAACACCGACGCACTGGCTCGGCACTCAAGATGGGATATGCGGTGCCAGCTTTCGTCATGGATATCACGCATGTCAGGTCTACGTTATCGACTCTTCTGACCGTCGGCGCCTGGAAGAAAGCAGCGCAGAGTTGCGGGAATTGCTGGCGGAGGACAAGCTTGCCGCTATTCCCATGCTCCCTGGCACAGACCCAATTGAAATGCACATAAATGCGGCTTGACCAGTCACTGAGTCACGTAAGGCTTGTGTACGCCAACAAGCAGGAGATGTCGTCTGAGGGAAGCGGATTGAAATTGAGTGACGCCTGCGTGCTTGGAACCCGCGTAACTTTCCAGCTCTTGTCACAGGACTTGCTGCAAGCATCTCCAGCAGATGAGATTTCCGAAGTCATGGGACTTGCCAGCATTGATGACCGAGTGTGGCCTGGCTGCATGCAAGTTCTGTGAACGTCATGGAACGCTCTGGACTGAGGTGGACAATTCAGGCATGCAGCGCCAAGAGCGGCGAAGGTCTTCAGGAAGGCATGGAGTGGCTGATCGGAGCAACGCGAAAGTGAGCTGAATTCTGGAGCAGTCTTGCAGCCCAGCTTGGCCCTTCGTTTCCGGGCTTCGCTTTTCGTGTATGGCCCTGAAACACCGGGCATGCTTCTTTTGCTTGTCGGTAAGCATGCACGTTTCACCTGAGCCAACGGGAGCAATGCGACGGTAGCGTGCAGAGACCAGTGGCTGAACCGAAAGATGGGGGCGCAGTTTGGAGCACACTCGCATGGTGCTGCCCGCAAGGGTTTGATGCTTGATTTGAGATTGGCTTTTGCGAGTGTTCTGATCGCAGCATCTTGCAAAGCTCAGACGTGCCTCCCAAGCAGATTGGCAGAGATTTGAAGAAAGCATGGGGCTTCTCAGCATCTTGAAAAAGATGAAGAAGGAGCGGAGGGGTTGCCCTGCTGCATTTTGGCAAGCTTTTGGCGCAGGAAGAGCAGGAGGCCCGAATTCTCGTACTGGGCCTGGACAACGCGGGCAAGACAACAATCCTGAAAAAGCTGCAGCTGGGCTATATCAGAACAGGGCCAGCTTGCACGCAAAGGTAGGTCGTATCAGAAGATAGCACATGTGAAACCATGTGGGCAACTTGCCAAACTGCTGGACCTATTCTCACATGGCAGCATGGCACAAGGTCTGAAGAGGACATTACGCACATCATGCCCACCCAGGCCAGTCTTGGATCAAGCACAGCTGCAGGCGACAGGTTCGTGAGAACATATTGCCTGTTCTTGCATAGGGCTTCAACATCAAGAGTATCGTTCAAGACGGCTTCAAGCTCAATGTGTGGGACATCGGCGGTCAGAAGGCAATTCGACCCTATTGGAGCAACTACTTTGAGAACACCGACGCACTGGCTCGGCACTCAAGATGGGATATGCGTTGCCAGCTTTCGTCATGGATATCACGCATGTCAGGTCTACGTTATCGACTCTTCTGACCGTCGGCGCCTGGAAGAAAGCAGCGCAGAGTTGCGGGAATTGCTGGCGGAGGACAAGCTTGCCGCTATTCCCATGCTCCCTGGCACAGACCCAATTGAAATGCACATAAATGCGGCTTGACCAGTCACTGAGTCACGTAAGGCTTGTGTACGCCAACAAGCAGGAGATGTCGTCTGAGGGAAGCGGATTGAAATTGAGTGACGCCTGCGTGCTTGGAACCCGCGTAACTTTCCAGCTCTTGTCACAGGACTTGCTGCAAGCATCTCCAGCAGATGAGATTTCCGAAGTCATGGGACTTGCCAGCATTGATGACCGAGTGTGGCCTGGCTGCATGCAAGTTCTGTGAACGTCATGGAACGCTCTGGACTGAGGTGGACAATTCAGGCATGCAGCGCCAAGAGCGGCGAAGGTCTTCAGGAAGGCATGGAGTGGCTGATCGGAGCAACGCGAAAGTGAGCTGAATTCTGGAACAGTCTTGCAGCCCAGCTTGGCCCTTCGTTTCCGGGCTTCGCTTTTCGTGTATGGCCCTGAAACACCGGGCATGCTTCTTTTGCTTGTCGGTAAGCACGCACGTTTCACCAATCTAGCTGCGAATTTCCCGATTGATACGACTCGGCTGCAATGCCAGAGGCTAACTGGAATGCAGAGACACCTGCATTTGAGAGGAAAAGCTTCAAATGAGCAGAGTCAGAGGGAAGGTGTGGCAAATGCTTCTGACTGAATCTGCTGGTGGTGACTTCTGCATGCGCTCAGCCGGCTCAGATTTGGCAGTCGGGGCAGAAAATGCTGAGAGGCAATCACAGCATCCATTGCTTTGATTCTATGCTGGGTGTGAGTTGGGAGAGCGCTTGCGTTAGCCTATTGATCTGCACGCACATTGCTTGGTGTTCGCTATGGAAGACTTCGTAGGCCAGTGACTGCCTGCCATGCAGTTATGTGGGGTTCGAGTGTAGCCCCTGCAAAAACACAGCGTTTTGCGATTTCCAGGGGGCCAATCCACATTGACTGAGGGTCAAGGCACCGCGCTGAAAGCCAAGAGCTCTTGGGAAAGACCAGCGCCAAGCAGGCTCCCCTCTTTTCTCTTGATTTCGTTCTTTCCGATTTGAGTTGTTTGGCTTGAGATTCCAACCTCGTGCTCTGTGGGACCGCCGCGCAACCCGACCCTCTAGAGACAGAATTCCGATTCATGCCTTAGCTGGCCGCATGCCCAAACAGTTCTAAGCCAATGCCGACCGTAGATGCCGGCGGATCTACAGATCGCATGAGTTGTGGATTGGCACCCATGCAGCTTACACCCGGCGCGATTAGGGAACACATATCTCTGAATGAGCGCGCCCAGGAAAGCACGCCTCCTGCCAGGTTTGACTAGGGAATGGTTGCGCAGCTCTGCAGTGCGAAGATTGAGGGTGGCCAAGACATGCTTGGCTGTCCCGCCATCGACTGGATTTACACGCTGACGCGACACAGCCGGCCACCGGGCACCTTGCCCTTCCCGTTCTTGTATTTCCTGTTCCTTGAATTCCCGTTAGCTTCCGGGATGTGAACTTTGCTTCCTTTGCATGTCTTCCCTTCCTGGCATTTCCCTTCACTTCCTTTCGCTTCATTTCCGCTTCAGCTCCCTTCATTTCCTTGAACCCTTTCGCATTCCTTTTTCTTAGTTCATTGTTCCCGCGACTTCAACCTCGCTTCCGAATTCCCATTTCACGTCACTTTCCCGCACATCCCTTGATTTCTCTTCAATTTCTCTTCGTTTCCCATAATTTCAAACAGTTTCTTCTCGTTACCGTTCTCCAGTTCCCTTCGCGTTCTGCCCTTGCATTTTGCTCACTTCCAGTCACTCCTTTTTCTGCAATTTTCAGCCCCTTGGTTCGCATCGCCAGCATGCATAGCATCATTCGCATCATCCAGGATGATGCTGACAATGCTGGGGGTGTTGTCAAAATCGCTAAACCAATCCGCAAATCCTTCGCCTCTCATAAGGGCAGGCCCAGCACAGAACGTATGCTCATGGTCCGCGCATGGTCCTTTCATGGTCGGCGGATGGGGCGGACCCGGTCTTATACCTGAAGGTAACTTGGCCGGCGGCCCGATCATAGTATAATTTTGTTGTGCTTATTTTGCTCTACAAATTGTTTTATTCTCCAGTATGTATTCAAATTACTAAAATTGACTTCACCAAATAGTATCACACCAAAATCTGTAAAATCAAATGGTTCTAATTTTGCATCGCCGTAGTCTATTCCAAAAAGCGTATTTATAGTCATTGCTTCACCTTGAAATGCCGGTAATAGTTTATTAGTAGGACAATTAAAAATTACCTTATAATTTTTATCAACCATTTTTTGACATATATATATGATTTTCCTGTGCCCGGTAGTTCGCCTTTAAATCAGAAAAGGGTTATTTTGTTTAACCATCTCTATATCAGTGTCATACTCATCTACAATACCAGTAGTTTTACTTTCATAGACTGGTATTTTTCTTAGTTCATTATTTACATCGTTAAAATTTACTGTAGGTAAGTTAATTTCTTCCCTCTGCTTTGAAACTTTCCAACCTCCTATATCATCATGAAATTCTAATAATTGCTTTGTTTTTTCTTCATTGCGTGTATCGATTACAAAAGCATCTGTTTTTACACTATATACACTAATATCATTAGTTATTAGTGTCTTAAAGTCTTGGTTCATTTTAAAATTGTGCTGTTGTAAAAGTAGTTCTCTAATATATCTATATCCGTTTCTTAATACTGCCTTATCCTTCAAATGCAATATATAATATGATGCCTTTACATCCCATTCATCCTCATCAAATCCATAATATGTTGTAGTTGCACCTCCTTCGTCGTCATATTCGGTCACCGTTTCGGGATATTCGCTTACAATATGCGATAACTTATTAATTTTTCCTCCGTATTCTGTTTGATAATGGACTGCTTCATCAATGTTTTTAAATAGAATACTTTGATGTGCTGTAGCACCTCCCTTTTCTAATAATCCAAAATTTACATTTGGTATTAACTTTTTAATTAGTTTATCTAATGCTTCGTCATGTTCATCTATATTTGTTGGTAAAAGTTCATTAATAATATTTGTATATTCAACTTTATGAATAAATGAAGGTTGATTATCATATAAAATATGGGTTTTGTGTGTCTTATTCTCATTGATGAATTCCTTCAAAAACTTGCCATATACTAGATTCTATTTCTTGTTGAAAAATAAGTTGTGATTACCACTTATTGCAATGTTTTTAATTGCTTGTTTTAATTTATCGGGATTTAAAAACAAACTTAAATCATGTGTGTTACGAAATTCTATATAAGTAGCAACGTCAATACCTTTACTAGATGCAATAGAATATATCATCTGCTTGGTGCGTTGATTTTTCTCTATTAGTTCCTTAATGCTGTCCATTGTTGTTTTTAACGGTCTTACATTTGTATCTATAGTTTCAACATAATATAACGTTAATTCATGGAGTTCATCTATTTCAATTTTTAAATACTGTTATTTCCCTAATATTAGAAAACCTTTGGGAAATGCTTTATTTACATCTATTTCTGTTTTATAAACTAGATTAATATTACTCAATAATTGCCCCGAAGGTGCTATACTTCTTGTTTCATTTAATATTTTAGTATCAATGTCGTTATAAAAGGATTTATGTGATGACATGAATAAGGATTTATTGAAATTAAACATTGCTTTGTTCATATTGTTGTATGTAGTTTCATTGCTAACTGCAATCCATCCATCACCGGAAGATTTAGTTAAATTTTGAGTTTTTATGATACATGTTATCTTGTTCAATCTTAATCTTATTTCATCAATAATACCTGTGTATTTAATTCTGGGTTCATATCCGATATTCAACAACTGGAATAATAGTTCTGCCAAATTATTATTTTCCGGCACTAAATATACAGTTTTAATTTTAAGTATATCATTTTTACATTTCATCATTTTGTATTGTGGCGGTTCTTCTCTTTCATTTATATACTAATCAGTGTGTGCCTTTATAGTGGGTAGTTTTGTTATTAACTGCTTCTGTTGTATCTTACTTAAATCGTAGTTTAAAGTGTAAATATGGTTATTCTTCACCATTGCGTAAAAGGTTTTTATATGGTGGTTTCTTTTTTCTGGTTAATGTCTATAAATAACTTCATTTACAAAATTGAAAATTCTAACTTGAATATTAAACTTTTTGGATACTGCTTCCATTTCCTTAATTGTCGCGCCAGTTTCACTGAAGTTTTCCCTACCTATGAGTTCAATAATTTTGTGTCTGGTTAGTCTGTTGCGGGTTTTTCATTCATGATTGTATCACTGTAAAAATCAGTTAATGAATTTATCCAACATTCATTCTCTATGTAGTTACCTTTCTTGATTGCCTTTTGTATAGTGCCCTCACTCATTTTAATAGGTGTGTGTATATACTTATGATAAATTGATACGTTTGTAGCATCCCTTAAGTTTCGGTTAATATATTAAACTTTTCGCCGTTTTCATTCATCTCTTCTACTGATAATAGTTTGATACATTCAATATCATTAAAAAAAATCTGTCATTTCTCTATATAGTTCATTAAATATTCATCTGTTGTTAATAGATTTGCTGTGTCATAAAATTCGTCATTTGGTGTATCACTATTGCTTCCATATTGTATATTTGAGTTGCCTAAGTATTTAAATATCTTTTTTCTTAAAATATCTGTTGAAATTGTTCGTGCTTGAATTGTAACATCAAAATTATCATAAGTTTTTGTGTAAAAATCCATTAGTCTGTGTGTAAAAGCGGGCTTAGATTTTTTCTTTATATACGTTCGCTTTCCTCCTTTGCTGTATACAACATAAATTGAATAAAATAAGTTTTTGTTTTTTATCTCGCACTCAACTCATTACCTTTTGTTTTCGTATACTCTATACCTTTTGTTTTCCTATTTTGTTTAATCCCTGATTATCTTCTTCTTTGTTTTTTGCTCTTGCTTCTGCCATTCTTTCATTTAATGGTTTTGTATCCTTGATTTTCTTGATATTATCCTTGTATTTTTGAATTGTTTTGTCATACACCTTTTTGTCTGTAGATGTTAAACCCTTGATATAATTTTCTGCCGTTGCTACATTTGATAACTTTCTTTCAGTATAATGTTTAATAACCTCACCAACCCTTTTTTTAGTTGCATTATTTGCGTTCTGTGTTGAATTTCTTTTGAGTTAATTTCACTCGTTTATATTACGCTGTAAAAACTTACTCATAATACAATCTATATATTTATATTATAAAATATTTCTTTAACTAACTTTTTTACAAGATTTTTTTTATAATAAAAATTCTATATATTTTTTAAACTTTCAATATTTCAATTCTTAAGAATGGTCGTGTGTTATGTTCCAAAAAAAAGGTTTGTCCTATTTGTTTTCAATCCTTTCAACTTTATATTTTGTAGGCGACCAATTACTACTCCTTTCCTTTTCAGTTATTGCTTTCTTTCTGTAAATCTTCACTTCGTCACCTATGTCAATTTCAGGATATTTACGGGTTCTAGTTGCTTCGGTTGCCATTTTCATTTTTACTTTATAATTGTTTTTCTCCTTCTATGCTTCCGCTGGTGTCATTCCTATGCTTGAATGTTCCATTTTATTATTATAAGTTAGTAATATTTCAAGATTATAATCTATCCATTGTATATTTTCCTTTCCTTCTTGCACATCTTTTTCAACCCTTTTATATAACATATCTTTGTAGGTGCGTATAAAACGTTCTGCAAAATTAGGATGTCCTCTTGTGCGGTATAATTCTATTCCTTCTTCTTTGAAATAATCTTCAACTGTTTTATTATATAAACTGCCTTCCTCGTCGCTATAAATAATTTCTGGTTTGCCTTTCATTTTCTGCATCCCTTCCATT